GTCACCTTTTCTGGTTGCCTTGATCCAAGGCCCGATATGGGATATCCAGGAAAAGCTGACGGTCACAGAGAAGGCCGTGCCAATGGACAGAGGTCTGGGGGGTGAGGCGGAAATGGAAATCTAACTGCACTGGGTCCTGGTGGAGCAGGGCATCAGTAGCCAGCACTGTCAAATTCCCAGCCTGGAAAAGGAATACAAATGAGATTAATAGTCCCCTGCTTTTGTGTGCTTCTAGTCCTCACATATCAGGTCTCGGGCCGATTTGGGTGTCTGAGGAAGCAAGGAAGGGGCTGATGGAGAGCCTGGGAGAGTTGGAGCCAATGTCTTATTCGACAATATAGATCTCTTAGACCTAGGACCTAACTCCATCCCTGTCATGGAGTTCTCCTGGATACCAAACGTCTGAAATCCAGATTCAATGCAGGATTACTGCCTGCTAACCTCACCTCAGGATGTACTATCCCTCATCAGAGAGCTTATTTTTTTAATATTTTTAATTGATTTCAGAGAGGAAGGGAGAGAGAGAAACATCAATAATGAGAGAGAATCACTGATCGGCTGCCTCCTGCACATCCCCTACTGGGAATCGAGCCACAACCCAAACATGTGCCCTGGCTGGAATAGAACCGTGACCATCCTGGTTCATAGGTCAGTGCTCAACCACTGAGACACACCAGCAACAAAGCTGTCTCATTTGTTTACTGTCTCGCTGATAATACTCTTCCACTTTTCCCCATCATATGGGTTTTCTGTAATGTCTCCCATTTCTCATCTAAAATGCAAACGTCACACACAAGCATGTTATTGCAAAATGATATAAGGGCAAGTGCAGGAGTTCTGGGTTCTAGTCCAAGTAAGCATCTGAACAGCCTTATGTCCTGCAAGTCTCAATACATTCTGCTCTTGGTTCCCACCTACTCTTCCCATCCTGCTTTTCACTACCACCTGAAGATCTCTAGGCAGAATCATTGTCTATAAAGCAAGTAGTTTTTACACATGAGCTTTGAGGTCTCATCTTGCTCTTTCTAATGTTCCTTCTCTGCAAGGTATCATTACAGTAGGCATGGGGCTGCCTGACACCAACTCACAGCACCAGCTCACACTCTGCTTACCGAGTACAGTTCTTTAAGCTGATCATGGTCACTCTGCTTGGTGCTTCTGCCCATCTGGAGGCCTACTGGGGAATCAGGAGCACTGAAGGCAGGAACGGGGCCGGAGTGTCAAGTCCTCCTGTTCCTTACAAGTGATGCTGGTTGGGAAAAAGAGACCCAAATTAGTTTACCTCTTAGTCTGAGGTGGGGAGAGGGTCCTAACTTCCAGGAACACAGGACCAGGCTCTGGCACTGTCTTCTGTATCTTCCCTAGACGAGCCTATTTCCATTTTCCCAGGTCAACCCAGTTGGAAAAATTCTAAAGTTCCATGGCAGCCTTCCACCCTATTTTGCTATTATCATCTCTTGCCACTTGGAAAGTTCTTCCAAATTCTTTTATTTTTCCTTACCATTTACATAAACTATTACAAGTAGAGATGAAAACAAGTACCTTTTAGCCCAAGGCAGCATCTTCTCCCGGAGGGTGATCCGGTATTTGTAACAGTAGAAGTAATAGGCGTATGGTGACCAGATTGGGTAGTAGTAGTTCCGTGTTTTTCCCCTCTTGATATAAGAAAGGGAGTAGACAGAGGGGCGCCACCTGTTACAAGGCAGTTTCTCGGTTCAGTGCCTCCCTGTGGCAAAGTGAGGTTCAGAGATGGGTGACAAAGATTTAGGCAGTCTGGCACCATTGTGACCTGATGGGCACTATGACATGCACAAGGAGTCAGCCCTTATGTCACTTCAGGACTCTTCCTGCTGCTCCCCTACCCCACCCTTTCCCTTTAGCCAAGTGTGCACTTCACAACTGGACCAGTGGTAAACAGCCCTGCCTCGGCATGTGTTGTGCCCCCCAACCTGCCCCCTCCCGACACACATACCACTTCCCCTAAAATTCAGCAACTAAAGGGTTAGTGTCTGACACTGCAAGAAGCTCCCAAGATCCTTATCCAGGGTCTGACCTGATTGGTTGGTTTCTATCAATTCAATATTTTCATTATTATCCCTACCTTTAACAACCCAGGGGTGCTACACATTTTTGAACTTTCTAATTGCCTTGTAGGAATTGCAAACTAACTGTCTCTAGGGCTCTGGACAGCTAAAGGGAATTAGTGGAGCTTCTGGGTGAGGCTGTAGCAAAATGGAAAGCTCACACCCTGTCTCTCAGAAGCCAACACAACTCCACTCCATCCCTCCCATTGCCATGCAGAAATGCAGACTCCGTGGTACCAGATTGTATGATTTTTCAACAGAAACTGGACAGATTTTTGTGGTAAATTTAATTTTTAAAAAAATACTACTAACTCAAAACTTATTTTAAAGCAACATTGTGAGTAAAATTAAGTTCTGGGGCCATCAGTTTGAGACCTCACTCATCTATTCAACAAATATTTGAGGGCCTTCTATGAACCAGACACTATTTTAGGTGCCTGGGATATATCAGTAAATAAAGATCCCTGACCCATGGAACATAACTTCTAACACAGAGAACAAACAGTAATAAGCATAAGAAAGTCCTTTAATATGTTAGAAGATAATATGCAATGAAGAAAAAATAGAGCAGGATAAAGGAGGGTCAGGAGTTTGAAGGGGGTGGGACAGGCTGCAGTAATAAATAGGGTGACGCAAGTGGGCCTCATCGGAAAGGTGACATTTAATCAAAGATGTGAAGGAGGTGAGGGAGTTAGCCAAGCCAACATTGGAGGTAAGAGCATTCCATGCCTACACAACAACAGTGCAAAAAACCCTGTGCCTTAGTGTTTTCAAGAAATAGCAAGGAGCCTACTGTGAGTAGAGCCGTGTAAGCTGACGGGAGAACAGAGGGAGATGAGGTCAGAGAGCTATCAGACCATCGCCTGGGCTTTTTCACTCTGAGTGAAGGGGGAAGTAATTTCAGAGTTTTGGCTGGAAGAGTGACATGATCTGTCTTACATTCTGATGTAACTGCAGAGCATTGAAGGGAGATTTGTCAGGAGACCAATGCAGTAATTGAGAAGGATCAGAGGTGGTGGGAAGTGGTCGGATTTTGTAACTAGAACGAACCCACAGGATTTTCTGGGGTATGAGAGGAAGAAGCTGGGTCCCAGAACTGAAAGAATGGAGTTTCCATCAACTGAGATGGGAAGGCTCCAGGTGAGGGAGTTTGGGCAGGAGGCTAGAGATGGGTTTAGTTTGGAGCTTGTTAACTTCGCATGGTCCCTTAGACACGTAAGGGGGAGATGATAAATAAGCAGTTGGATATTCAAGGCTGGAGCTTAGAAGTCTAGGATGGAGACAGGAATTTGGAAGTCACTGCACATTCACAGTACTCTAAGCCCTGAGACTGCATGAGATGTCAGGAGTGTGTGTATTGAGAAGAGTGTCCACCCTAAGAAGGGAGAAAGGAGAAGTCGGCAAAGGAGACGGAAGAAACCTGGTGACGCAGGAAGGGAAGAAGCATAGGCGTCTTCCCATAATCTCCTCTGCCGAGCAGACCCCACTCACTTCATTTATCTGGTCTTCTCTCCAGCACTGCGACCCTCCATAGAGAGAGCTGTCTGGGCCTGGTCATGTTTAGTTTTTCTCAGGCTTATCTCCCTAGTGATTGAGAATTCTTTAAATATTAGCTTAAATACTGCCGTTGTAAAGATTAAGAGCTCCTGGGCTGGTATAGTTTTCCAGACAGATCCATCCTTTCACCACCTTCAGGTAGCTGCCGAGTAAGGAGAAGGGACCCCTCCGTGTCGTTTCCTAGACTGTCAGGTTGGCATGACTTAAGGCCACACCGACACCAGGGGGAGAGGGTCTTCCTATGGCGGCAGAGTGGGCGTCCGTCCCCCGAAGAGGAACGGGGAGAAGGGCGTGAGGGGGACGCTCAGTCGGGGAGCGTCGGCTCAGTTCTCTGGTCTAGGGCTGCGACTACGCCGGAAGCCGAGACCGCCCCC